AGCTGGGGGCTGTTGAAATGACAGGCAGGAGACTCGGTTCAAGTGGCTCCTCCTGATCACCGTGGCCTGGTGCCTCCATATCTGCACCGTGCTTTCCTCTTCTGGCAACTGAAGAGCTTATACCCTCTTGGCAGTTTGTAAAGAGGAAGAACTATGAATATTTTTTTTTATTACAAAAATTGTGGTGAGATGCATATATCATAAAAAGCACCATCTTAGCCATTTTTAAGGGTACAGTTCAGAGGTGTTAAGTCCCTACACATTGTTGTGTGACCAACCCCCCCCTCCATTCACAGAACTCTCTTCATCTTCCCAAACGGAAGCTCTGAACCCATTAAACAGTAACTTCCCATTTTCTGCCCTCAGCTCCCGGCAACCTGCATCCACCTTACTGTCCCCACGAGTTGGGTGGTCTAGGTGACTTACGTGAGTAAACTCCTGTGCATTTGTCTTTTTCTGCAAAGGGCTTATTTCACTTAGAATAAGGTCCTGAACTCATTCACATAGCTTGTGTCAGAATTTCCTTCCCTCCTAAGGCTGAATAATACTCCACCATGCATATGGACCACATTTTGCTCATCCATTTATCCACTGATGGACACTTCATTTGCTAGAAATACGGGCTTTGCATGCTAAGATAGCTTCGAAAATGTACAGAATGGTATTATTTAAGGAGGTGGGGTTGGTGAGGACAGTGAGCTTTAGTGTTGCCCCTGACTTTGAGTCCTGGCTGCGTATCCTTGAGCTCTGCACCCCAGGGCCTGTCTCGTAGTGTTGAGAGCCACAGCAAACTTCTAGCTGCCAACTCATTGGCTCCTCTGCGGTGATGCTCATTGGGCTGTTTCCCTGCCCTTTCAGACCACGGAGCTGCTCATTGGGGGACTTTTTTTTTACTTGAATTTTTTTCTCTGTCTGACTAGCTCGAGAGACCTTCTCTTTTACTTGAATATTTCTACTATAACTATAATACAACCCAAGAAAATAATGCCAAACAAAACTGAAACAGAGTGAAACAAAATTGGAACAACAAAAAATCATTATAGACTTTCTATCCTCCTGAAATGTCATTTCTCCCTATCGGTTCCTCAGATGTGAGCGGTTTTTCTTCCGTCTCACTCATCTCCAGGGACAGGCAACTTAAAACAAAAGTGAAGCAAAACAAAAGA